ATGGCTGTACCAGAACTCAGTTTAGTAATGTTATCTAATTTGCACTGAGGATCTGATCCATTGACTTTAGAATCCACTGTGAAGTTTCATATGTTGACAGTCACAGAGGAGATATAATAAATAAACTAATCCATGGTTTAGGTTTTTTTTTGTTTTTTGTTTTTTGTTTTTTGTTTTTTGTTTTTTACATTCATTGCCTATCTCAGTGTTGGTGGAACAGTTAAATTGTGTTCTGTCTTAAACCAGCAAATCATCATGAAATCTGGGCTGCTTATATTTCTGTGGCTTGGAGAATCCGTATCTATTAAAGTAATCAACATATGATCTGTATTTAATAAAAAAGTAGCCTCATGATGTAAATGATAGCCTCATGATACAAAGAAAGTAGCCTCATGATATAAAGATTTGTGAACAGAAACAATTTTTCAAAAGAACTGTCATGCACCTACATAGTCCAACTGTAATAAGAGCAGTATGAGACTTACATTTTTGAACACGGGTACATTCCATTCATGTCAATTGCAATTACAAAACTAAGGATCAAATTTTTAACTGAGTTAATCATCTCATTGCCATTAATTTTAGTGAACTTAGATTATTAAATAATCTTTAAAGGCCACTAGTTCTTAAGTTTTGAATGCATTATTATCAGTAAAATGTTTATTGCTGCAGTATTGCTAGATGCTTCATATTTTGGTGCAATGTGCAATGATATTCTTTAAAGATTTAATTGTAAGTGCAATTTGTGCACAGCACTAGACCTCTTAGAGGTCAATTTTTAGTGTTTAGAAAAAAGAGAAACAAACAGTTGATGTGAGATAAAGGTGTCATCTGTATGATGCAGTGTCAGATATGAAATTCAAGTGATGTATGAGTGGGTCAGGCTTAATTTTTCCGAAGCAGAGGAAATGAGAGGCATTTCATTTTTGTAGGTGAGAAGTGAAATGTTCCTCTCTGCTCACTGAAAGAGGCATGCTAAGGTGAATTTTAATTATGACTAAATTGTGGTATTACTCTTTCATACCCTGAACATCTGTTCCCTTCAGGAATGATGATTTATGCAGGCTATCACTGCAGACAGCTTGCTACAGCTTATGTCACGGTTAGTAAGAAGCCAGTGGTAGCATTTCAGAAAATACCAGCATCTAAGGGAAGACAGGCCAGTGTGTATTTTTAAGATAATATGGAAAGGGGAGCATGATATGTCCATTTTTAATTTTGAAGCCAAATATTGACTTTGCTTTTCTTTTTCTTTCAGACCATCTGTCATTAATGAGGAAAGTAACTCGGATAGTGGCCTGGTTCTTCACAATGGTTTCAACAAAAAGAAAATGAAGGTGTCATTTCCAGCTGCACGTAGAAAATGGTTGACAAGAATTCTGACAGATTTATAGTACTTAAGGACTGGATAAGCAGGATAATTCTGAGACTATTGCATCATGAAATCAAAATTGAAAAGGTAACCTTTGTTTATTAGTATGTCTGAATGCATCTCCAAATCACCTTCATTGCTACCACTGGTTTATTGTTTTCTTGTAACTATAGTTTATTCTTTAAAACAAAACGAAAAACAACTCTTGAATTACAAAGCCTTGGAATTCAACATAACTGGGGTTATGTTTATGCTTATATTACATAAGGAAGGTAAGGTAACGTTTCCTCAGTGAACTTTCTTCCCTGATAGCCCCCCTGCTCTTTAACCTACACTTCTTTACCCAGTAATCAGCCTTGCTTATGATTACGCCTATTTTTGTGTGATCTAACAATACGTGTATCTGAGCATTTATTACCAAGGAATAGTTTATCTGAGGCATGGGTTATATATTTGAAAATACAGTCAAGTTTGATTAGGCTAGGCATTTAATTATAAATATACTGTAGCTAGAATATCTGTCTTGAAATATATCACGCTGTAACCATATAACAAAGTATCTTAAAGTTACGCTCTATGCAGTTTTTTTTTTCATCTATAACATTCTTTGGTAATTTAATAGGGTTTTGGGTAATACACTCTTTTCAGGTAAGCCTAGAAGGTTGAATAATAACACTTCTACATTCATTGTGATAAGTGTGATTAAAATACACAGATCAAACTTGTACACACTCCTGTACACTGGAGCAAAAAGATTCAACAGTGATTTTTAAACATCACAACAAATCAGTAGCTTTATAAAGTGTTAATCAATCTTTGTCTTTTTTCCATGGGGATGTTTTTGATCTAGACCATTAATTATTGAACTGTGATCTACGAGGCCTTATACTTCATGTAATGGGTATCCAAAAGCAACTGAGGCTATAGTTTCGAGCACATTTCAAGTCAGTGTACTACAGCACTGTTTTAAAAGAGGCTGTCTTGGCCTCCGCCATTTTTATCCAGTCACTGTAGACCTTCTACAGCTCCATGGAGAGCATAAGGGTTTTGTTCCATCATTCAGTGAACCACATAGGGGAGCTGATGTAGGTAAAAGATAAACCAGTTAAAATTGTCAGTTTTAATTGGGTACAGTTTCTAGAACCTTGATCTCTGCACAGCCCCAAAATGCCTTTGCATCTTCTCTGAAAGACAAAAATTCTTTGGAAAATTCTAGTCTGTACTTCTCAGTGCTGGGAAAGAACTGAAGCCAAAGCTATATGTTTACATGCAATTCACATCTGCATTTTATACAAGCATCTGATTCTTCAGTGAAAGATGAATGTATTTCATGCTAAAGATGCACATCATTATGCAGTTAAATCTGGAAATACTAATAGCTGTGTTTATAAAATTTGAAAGGAGAGAGAGATTTTTTTTGTATCCATTGCATGTTTGAAATGGTATGAAACAATTTTTCTGTGCTAAGATGAGAAAAATTCTAAAATAGTCTTAGTGAGTCTTTTCACCTTCTCAAATGTTTTTTTAAATTTCTTTTTAAAGACAGACTAGAATTTGAAATGGGAGACTTGACTACAGGTTCAGATTCTGTTTTGTTCTGATTGGACTAGAATCTGGTTTTACAAAATCTATTTGAGATGAGCATTTTCAGCTACGCATCTGCCTGGGAAGCTAAGGGCCGTTAGTTGCAAGGAGTCGGAAACTACAACTACTGGAGGACCTTGAGTCCACTGAAAGAAATTGTGCCATGTTTTCCTACCTCCTCCTTTGCCAAAACATGAGTTCTGAGTTATATTAGAACTGCATCAGAAATATGGCATTTGGGCCGAAAAAAGACAAATTTGTACGAGCAACAGGGAGAAAACGTGCTGAATTTTAGCAAACTGTAGTGATATGCAACACCTTCAGAAAAGTTCCATGTTTGTGCATGTTAAAATAGCATTAAAAACACTGAAATTAAATTTCAAATTGAAAAACTGAAAGAAAAAAATGGCTGAGAAACACAAAGCTTTATTCACGGCGTATTTTCTTTGTCTTATTTTAAACCACAATTTTTGTTTGAAGAGCTGGTATCGCTCCTAAGTTTGATGTGCAGTTACACCTGTGTAGATTTTGTTGAGGTAATAAATATATTTTCTACATTTGAACATTTGTTACTGCAGTTGAATATGGGATTTTATAACTGAACAAATTTCTCTTAGCATTTACTAGACCGATACAATTTTATGTATTACTTTGCTTTTGTGTTTATAAGCATCTTGAAACAGGCAGTTTAGGATATTCAACTGTCTCATCCGAAATAGGAATGATAGATGAATAATGTCATTAGGATTTTCATTAACAATGAATTTCTCTTGGTCAAAGTATTGTCACTTCTGTCATCATAATGTAACATGTTTGCTGTTTATCTTAGACCTTATTCTTGACATTTTTTCACTAGCACTCTTTTGGTGACAGTTTCTGTTTTATTCGTGGTGCCAATAGTGTTGATTCACCTCTTTCATAACATTTGCATTAGCATCCCACAATATAAAAGCTGCTATTGTGCGTATTCTCCAGTATTGTGATTTCTGTACAGTCTAAACAAAGACAATCTAAGTAATCAATACAAATATTTTGAAGAACATGTAGTGAAGAAATAGTACTTACAAGGCTGAAGTACACGTCTAAGGTGGCTGAGCCTTGCAACTTCATGCTATTCAATCTGAAAATCTGGTTCCACATAAAATCTTAATAGTGTGAGACCTCTCTCTAAAGCTATAGCTCTGACACATCAGTAGGAAAAAACAGAACATGGATGTTCAAATTAAGCAATTGTTACATTTCTAGAGATTAGCGTATCGTTTTATTGAAACTGTGCATGCTCTGTTCAAAACAGAAAGCTAACATAAAGGTGTAGTAGGGACATGCAGCCTGTTTTTTTTCCTGCAGCACCTAGTGTTATTCATGTGCAGTAGCAGACCACACACTTTGCACTGCTAGGAAGTCTTTTTCTCTTGTCACCTTTCTGAAGTAATTTTTAAGACATTGTATTGTGTTTCTACCGTGATTGTAAACGGTCTGTGAAAGCATGTTTTAAATAACTACACAGGGTTTTCATCTTTTTGCATAGCCAAACTAATTAGAGATTAATAACAATAATTTCTGTCTATATCTTGTAACATGTATCTGTCAAGTATCAGAGATGAGTTTAGTTTTTCCTGCTCATTTCCTACTATTTCACTTTGTAAAAAACACTTAACATTTTGTTTTAATTTCTGGAGCTGTTATAAAAGTAACTGTTACTTTTTTTCCCAAGGAGAACTGGAAATATTTGATTTAATGTGTTGCTCAGAAATTTACATATACACATTCATATTTTTGTATACATAATCATTACTGGAAATCAAAGGAATCAACATCTGCACACTGAATTTTATGTGGATTGTAAACTGTCCTCCAAAGACATTTGTTCTCCAAGTGATTAATATTTAAGCTGTAGCAGTTTAGAACATATTTAGAACATCTTCCTACTGTTATGAGGAATTAATCATTTTTCTTAATAAATTTTTAATTAACTCAATCTGAATTATTTGCAGTAACACCATTTTTTTTTTCCTAAGTTTTTAAGCGATTGAAAACTGAGGATGAATTTTAATTGTCCAGTAAGATAGTACCAGGATATATGTGGAGAAATCACTGGCAATATTATAAGTGGTAAGTAGAATTTTTAGGGCAGGTTTTTGCTTTACCACAGCTAGAACTTAGAAAAGCGAATCCGGCATTATTTCTTATGTCCTTTCTGTAGGTTGGTGCCCTTAATGTGAACTAAAAAATACAGTAGTAAGGTGCAGCAAGAGTCAGTTTGTTTTCTGCACTTCATCCCACATTTAATTTCAATTTCTGTCTGACATTTTTATCCTAAGATGTAGAATTCAGTAGATGTGTCTTGTTGGATAGATCCAGAAGTAAACTGGGATGGATCCCATAGCTTGAGTAATGTTTTTCTTTTTTATCTGGCTGAGATCATAATTATTAATTTAGAAGCACATCTCTGTGGAGCTTGTATCTTTCATGTTCTCACAGGGATACAAAAATATTATTTTTCTCCTCATGTTTCTGTTTCCTGTTACTAGAAGAATATATTTTAATTGATTTCTTATTAGCTAGTCTAGTCAAACCAATTTAAAGCACTATATATGATGTAATGTAATGTTATATAAGCCCTACATTGTATATGTATTATAGTAGATACTGTCTATCAGCAAATGTGCAATATATTATTGCATATAATCATCCATGTTATTTAATACTAACAGAAGAGGTATATATTTTACATTAAAATTTAATATTTAAATAGAACTCAGTGCTCAGTTCTAAGTTCCACTTACCTTTGTAAAGTTCTGAAACTCCATTAGAAGGCACAGGTGAATCTATAGAATTTATTTGACATGCAGAATATAGCCCTTTGTAAACACCTTATTCTATTCTGTGTAGAAGGCTCACTACAAGGAGGCAAAATAAAAAGATTGTTGAACAGGTCTGTCAAATGTGTAGCTGCTGACATGGTGGGCTGTAGTTAGAAGAGCACTGATGCAGTATTAAGTTCCATCATGTATGGGAACTGCTGAGTCACGGCCTGAACCTCTGATTAATCACCTGAGGTGAGCCTTGAGTCAGCCAGAGGAGCTCAGGTGAAGGCAATTCACCTGTGCTGCCAGAAGGGGTGGATAATACCACCCCTCCTGGACCTATTTAAGAGCTGGCTACCAGAGGGGAAGGATCTCTTCTGGAGATCCCCTCTTTTGGTATCTTCTGGTGAGCTCAACCCAAGGGGAAGCTCTTCCACTTATTCTCTTTTTGTGATCGTTGTCTGCTTTGCCTTACTCTCTTGATTATATTGCAATTATAACATCTTGATATCTATTGATTATACACAATTATATTGTGATTATAACATCTTGGTTATACACATCATAAGGCATCTTTACCTGACTAAGTAATTTAGAGTGCATAAAAATGATATGAGATCAGTTTTTTTTTCCTCTTTCTGGCATACTATCTTACAGCATGCTTATCTGGCTGAACGAAGCACTTTTTACTCTTAGTTAATAACTCTGAACAGTATCTGGAATTGCATGGCATGATATGAAAACTGAATATATCCCTTCTTAAAAAGCTTTTTTTTTATAACTGTAGTCCACTAGGAGTAAGATTTTGCTTGAATAAAAGAAAGATTTGCTAGGCCACAGCTACAAGTTTTCTCTCTCATTTTCACCAGGATCTCTGTCTACCTTCGCCATAAATTCTGGCAGTATGTATTGTTCCAGCCATTCAATCCATTCAGGATTGTTTCCTGAGTTCCTCTGGAATGTTGTGTTGAACTGAGGCCTCTCAAAAGATCTTAATCCAAAAATTTGTGCATCAGCTAGATTGCTGTAGACTTACTCACGTTCATCTGAATAGATATTAAGCAAAAAGAAATCAAAAATCACATATGACTTGGATGAAATTGCACTGAACTAATGTATCTCTGTTTTAGTGGCTATAATCATCAAATATATGCACAGATTTATAAAAGCAGTGCACTTCTTTAGCAATTATTTTTATGCATTTCTCTTAAATTAGTTCAGTTTTTAGTTTTGTCTCTGAACTTCAGCACAAGAGCAGATGGAAAAACCTAGTTGCAAGCTGTATGTGACTAGAATCATTAATTCAATCAATGGAAAAAAGTTGGTATAATTTATTCTGATTGAATGAAATATAAACAGAGGAGGTAATATAGTACAGTATATATACTGAGGCTTCTGTTGCAGAAACAGAACACTGCAAGCATTTCAAGTTTGATTCTGATGTACATTACCTTTCTTGTTCTGTTGGAGATACTGTAATGTGATTTTTCTCCTGCAGGCAATCATGAGTTGTCACTTCTGGTTGTTGTTGGCTTGGGTTTGCAGTGGTCCCATACACAGCTGTTTGTAAAGTCATAAGCCACGTGATAGTGTCTGGAAACGTGTCATTCTTGCAGGTGAGTGGATGGAGAAGTAACATTGAGACTATTATAGCTCTCTTCTTCTGCCTGGAAATCTAATTACCTATTCTTTATTTTTAAAATCATGAGATTATTACTCTGTATTTTAAGTAAAACTTTGCTGAGTTTTTATTAATCTGAGTCAAGCAAATGACTTAACATTTGGGTAGTATCATTAATTAAGAGGACAGTCACTTCATTCCTAGGCTATTTTTACTTTTGCATTGTAAGTTATTTGAATCTATTAATTTTCTATGCTGACTTGTTATAAACTATTGTAGTTAAAAAAGAGAGAGGGAAAAAAAAAAAGATGTGCAGGGTGGTAGAACTGAAGAGAGGAGAGAGGCATAAAGTGTATTGGAAAACTACCAAATGTCCCCTGCAAATGGACCCTATTCAGAATCAGTAAGCGTATGATGAGTGAAGTGGTTTTGAATATCGCCTTTAGATTCCATGCTGTTACAAGGCCAGCCCTGAACATGGCAACTCTTATTTCCACACACAGTACCTCTTCACTCTCAATTTAACCCAAAAATCTGATGAACCCATTACTCCATACTTGATTTCATGGAACAAGGAGTAGATATAGTTACAAATGATCAATCACAAGCCTTGAACCAAAGCAGCAAGGCATTAACAATTCACACCATTTCGGTCCACTTGCTCAAGCAGAAGATGTGCCAGCATATTTAATGCACAGCTACTTCGTTCAGTTCAAGAAAAGACATGACTCATGCTCATTTTAGGAACTGAAGAGACTTCATAGGTTTTCATGCCTACTAACCGCTGAGAGTCAGAGTTTGCACTTGTAAACAATTAATATAACCAGGTGGTCTGTAAAGGTCACAGATAGAGGTAAGTTTGCAAACTAAATTTTGCTCCAGTTAAAAATAGAGGGATGACTTGGGAAATGGTTTGCAAAATAAAGCCAAGTTCTGTTGCACAGATTTGTATTGTACAATCCACATCTTGTTCAGCAGAATTGTAATGTTGTAGACCCCACAGGCATATGCCGTCAATTTAATAGGATCACTGAAAAAGCAAAGCAGCTGTGAAAGATTGCTTTAAGTACAGCAATCGTGTGCTTGTCATTCTGTTCAATGGTGGAAAAATCCAAATTCAGATAGGCATCAGTATTTAAGAGAATGACTGCTAGAGCATCTCTCATAAGTACCTTAGGGACAATGCAATTTGACATACAGCATGTAAACAAAAGTGTACAGCAGCTGTTAGATTAGTTTTTGTTTGAGTAGAAATACACTGCCATAATTTAAAAAACACAGGAAACCTCATTTTCTCCATCATTCAGTTTCCGTGCTTAAACCACATGTTCAGTTGGTCCGTGCCAGTTGCCATGGACAGATTGTTATGTGATGGAAACAGTGAAGAAGTGTATGGTTGCACAATCTTGTGGCCTCCGTCTAGTGTGACAGTGTAGAGCACAGATTAGAAGTACTTTCAGAAAAGGCCTTATGTCAAATGAGTTTGATTTAAAAAAAAAAAATCTCATATTTTGATCACACTGAAAAGCTTTTCCAGTAATGGAAAAGGTATTACTGATTTTTGATACTGTCACTTTTGGAAAAAACACCACACACTCAAAAAGATCCTTTTATTGTTCTAGGCTATTTGCTACGATAAATTGATGTAAAAAATGGCTCAGTGTAACATCATGAGCTTAAGAAGAAAGTTAGTGAACTGAATGTTGGGATATTTGTTTCTATTTTTTGAAATCCTCTTGTGAAGATTCCAAAGTACCCAAGGATGATTTTCCTGTTCTTTCACTTAACTAGCTGCTCCCACTCTGCTTGCTTTTTGTGGAATTTGAAATCTCTGGATTTTGTTTTTTGGGAAAATTTCTCTTTTTTTTTTTTTTTTTTTTTTTTCCCAGAAGAGTGTAAAATTACACTGTAATGAAATATTTTCTTCTAGAAAATTCGATCTTTTACATGTGCTATTAACTCAGATTCATCAACGAGGAAGGTTTCCTTCCTTTACAGTTGCATGGGGCTGCTGAATCACGGCCCAAACCTCTGATTGATCACCTGAGGTGGGCACTGAGTCAGCCACAAGAGCACAGGTGAAGGCAATTCAGCTGTGCTAGACCCACTTAAGAACTGACTGCCAGTGGGGAAGGATCTCTTCTGGAGAGCTACTCCACTGGAGTTTATTACGTGAGCCCAGGATAGGGTGAGTGTTCTCTTTTCCTTGCTCTAGTATCATAATTGCATCAGACAAACTCCTGTACCATCTGTATATTCATTGATTGTATAATAGTCTGTTTCATTTTCTGATCAAGGACTTTGTCTTAATGCTCTCTCTCATAATTTCCTTAAGAATCTCATAATATTATCCCTAGCTCCTGAGACACACACATCATGGTGAGTCATTCTTAAACCTTGCTTAGATACCTCAGATGCTTCCTTTCAAAGGGTTAACCTTTGTCTTTTGCTGTGGGTAACACACTGTTGCTGAACTTCATCATCCTACTTTGCAGTCAGTGTTTGCAATGTTTGTGATCTCTATCAACTATAATGTTGAATTTGCTATGCAACACTTAAGAGTAGATTTGCAGATCTTTGGGAACTTTTGCCTCTAGATTCTTTTTGCCTTACTGTGTTTTGTTTGTATAAAGCCATATCATCAGAGCAGTCTTGTGGAATTGGGAAGTATTTTATTAACTCGCTGTGAATATTATTATTATTTTCATGCCAAAAGGATATTATTTCAGATGTGTGCCTTCTTTGAGTGAGTAACCAAAACGACAAAAGGCTAAAAATGGTACTTCAACACACTGTATAACTGTTGGCTGATATCTTAATGTCTAGTCCAGTCTAGTCATCAGTCACAACTAGCTCTTCATTTAAAATTATTACTCTTGCACATCTACATCAGTTCCAAATGTGAACAATTTAACTGCTCCTAAGCTAGCAACAGTGTTTTGTGTTTTTTTTTAATCTGGAGTGTATCTTCTGAAATTACAAATCAAATACCCAGAGCAATAAATTTAAGGACTATTTTAGTAAAAGTATAATCTTTTGAAATGGCTTCTTTGCTATTCAACCTCATTCTTCCCTTTCTACGCATTTTTCTACTTCAGTGAATGCTTAATAACTTAAATATTGTTTATATCTTGAATTTTTAAAAGGAGGTGAAAAGAATGTGAAAAAGTTAAAAAAAAAAAAAATACAAATTTGAGGTTACAAATCTGGAAACATAAAAGCGTGGAATGAAGCAAATAGCGTTATGGATAAAAAGAGCTGATTTTTATGGAACAACTATTGCTTATGCAAAATTAATTGGATTTGCTACTCATTGTGATTGACTAAAAGTCAGTTTGGGTGTTAGAAATTTCTGGAAGAGGTTACACTATGGATCTTTTCACTTCAGAGTCATTCTTGCAAGTTCTGGAACCATCCCTTCTCTGTTTTGGAAGCATGCACTACCTTCAGAGGTGAATAAGCACAAGCTCATTATATTTACCTTGAAATTATTTGGGATAAAGTGATAGTGTTATAATTAGTCTTCAGATGTAACAGGCAATTCCTATGCACACACTTTCATACAGCTGTGTTTCAGCCTCCTTACAGACTCAGACAAACAGCACTACTTGTGTTTATCTGATTTTCTGTTTGTAAACTTATGGTAATGAAAGTCAAAGCAGTGAATAGAAACGTTGTTTGCTGATGTTTTTTGGTGGAACTTCCAGAAACTTCACTGGAATCAGGTTTCTGTCTTTTATAATTGCTTTGAACAAAGTATGAGTCAAGCCCCACGCCACGTGACATGAAATATATATTTAGTTCTGATGCTGCTTCCCTAGTTCTCAAATTCACTCATGCCCATTTTCCTGCTCAGACCTCATTCATGACTTCATCTTTATCTTCTTAATTTTGTGTCCGACTCCAGTGTTAGAGAGTGAGTGCATTGTTGAAATAGTCTGGAAAAATATTAGTTCACTGATTTCTGCTGGAGAAGTTAACAGTATAAGGAAGCTCTCAGGACTACTTATGTGAGCATGTATTAAATGGCTGACTAAATAAGATATCACAAAGTTCTGGAAGTCAGAAGACTTGGCTTTTAACATAATTTTTAAAAAAAGTTGTGCCTTTCAGAAAAACAAACATGGTTTTGATTAGCCATGTACTGAATTCATTCATAAAATAGATTCACTTAAGCAAATTACAGTAGTGTATTTTCCAGTTATTTTTGAAGATGGATTTAACTGAAAGTTTCATTCCTTCTTTGTCCAAGAACTCATATATGGAAGTTTCTAAATTATGGTCTTAGATCATTCTCTGCTTTTGCAGCTGACTAAGCAGATAATGAGGCTAAATATTTGTCATGTCTGAATTGAAACTTTGTCTCAATAAAATAAATGAAGTGTAATTCATTGCCTCTCCCTCTCCCTCTCCCTCTCCCTCTCCCTCTCCCTCTCCCTCTCCCTCTCCCCTTTTTTACAATATAAAGCAAATTCCTGAAATGCTAGTTAATGCTGTTTTATTTTGTCACAGAAGAAAGTGCCATGTGTACATTACAAAATAGAGTAAAATACAAAGTACCTGTAAAGTACGTGAATCTCAGTAATGCCTGAAGGCAAAATAATCTTTCCTTATTTGTGATGCATAGAGATGTTATGTCCGTGAGAGAGAATGTTTTCAACCTTTACAGTGATTTGAAATCCAGGAAAAGCAAATAAAGATCTTGTTGGGACCATCACCATGAATCAGTTCAGTCCATTGTTTCATTTGGCCTTCTGTGATTATTAAACAGCTACAATGATTTATTTTTTTTTATTTGTTAGGAATTGTTTTTCAAGTAGTAGCAATGAGAAAGTTATAATAAAATTACTTAATAGACTGTTGATTATATTTTATGTGTGCTACCATTTGAAATGTGTTTGGTGTATGTAAGCTCCTCAACAGGAAACTGTGTACAGAAACAACATGGATCTTGCAATTTTATCAGGACAATGCAAGTAGATTTCAGCAAGGTTGGTTCCAACTCATCTGTGATAAATGAGAAGATAAGGCAATCAGTGCACACCATGACACTCTGTGCAGCTAGTTAGGCACACTTCAGAACTATTCAGGTGTGCTCACGAAGCCTATGAGTCTTTCATGGGGGGTGTCTTAATATAAATACGTCCTTCATGGTGGCCACTGGAAATGCAGGACTTGCTTTTCCAAGTCTTAACCCAGGTCAGATATGAATAACAGATATTAAGAGTTAGTTCTACTGCTGAGGCTGTGTTAGAGACTATATTTTGGTTAGATCAAAAGAATGCATTTTTTTTTCTCCTTTTTTTTTTTTTTGCTTAGCTCCTGTGCTTGATAAATGCCTGCAAAATTCCATCACACTTTTGCATGGACCTGTTTGGGTCTCAGGGAGAGAAGGTTTCAGCCTCTTAAGAGGAAAGATTTATATCCAAGAAGCTCTATTGGCCCTGCACCAACGATTACAAGTCTGCAAACTGTTGCAAGCCGGTGAGTTGTCCCACTTCTTAAAAGCCTGCTTTTTTTGTTTTTATTTTGCAATGTACTGTTTCTATAAAAAACAACAGTTGGTACTGTGTCATAAGGAAGTGTGACAGGTATTGCATGAACTGCATTACTTTTAAGGAAAATGAAATACGTATCCTGTAATCACAGGCAACAGTAAAGGATTTAATTGTGTGTCTCTTTTGGTAAGAGATGTCATATGTATCCTGTTTTCTTGCTGCATGCTGTGCTTAGCTGTGTTGCTCCTTATGTGGAAGTTCTATAAAGCAGTGATTTTTTCATAGCTTGTTCTGCACTGCAGTTTTTAATGGTCCCATAGATCTTCTCCTAAAGCTAATCTACATGATTATTTAGCCAAAAGATTTATTTGTTAAATAAAGAAAACATGTAACTAGTGTTGCATTATGAAAGATTCGATAACTATAACATTTACAAAACCTCATACTTAATTACTATGTATATGCCTTTAAAGATTATTTCTTATTTTTCGTTTATTACCAGAAATGCATTTTATTTTGAAAAAAAAAAAAAACCACAAACGTAGAATACAGAGAGTGAATATATTGTTTCATAGCTTTGTAGCAAGAAGATTTTTTTTTTTCTTCAAACCATGTATTTTATTTTAGGAAATAAAAACAAAAAAAAAGGAAAAGGTCAAATTTAGGTTATTTACTTATGTTCACATTTTTAAAGATTAAGAGATGAATTATGTATAAAAAGCATGTACAGATTTTCCAGGAAATATACTATGTAGAAATTAACCAACCAGCTAGGAAACTAGAATTTCAAAATGATCTCAAGCCCCAGAGTTAAGAATGACTATCATACTACCAGTCTGTGTAGGAAGGGGGAGGAGAAGTGCAAGCAAAGTGTCAGTCACACTGTTTATACAGCACCTCCTGCTGTCAGATCCATAAAGAGAAATGAGAATTGACTACAAGAGACTATTCCTGTCTAGAGCTAATAGTGGTCAGCAAAAAGAAATCAAACAAACAAAAAAAGAAAACAACCAAAACCAGAAATGAGAGTGTGTGTGTGAGAGAGAAACAAGCAGAAGAGAAAAGCGTGTTTCAAAATGTTTCTGCGTCAGTTTAGCAATACATTAAAGACTGAGAAATGTCTTTACACATTTTATTTACAGTCTTCACTTTAAAGACAATGCTGCCTGTCACAAAGGCCATAGGAATGAGATATATTACTTTCCACAGCCTTTGCTCTTCTAGAAAAAATATACAGCTTGCTTACAAGTATTAAGCAAGTATAGAAGTAATTAGCAGAGTAAAGCAGGCAAAAATAAAAATTTATATGCAAGTCTGTCAATATCAACAATTTTTTTGCTCATCATTATAAAGTACGTGTAAAGAAGTTTCAGAAAATTAACTTGTATGAATTATTCCTCTGGTGATTGTGCAGCATTGTTATGTTGGAAATTACAAATGACCGAAATCATAACAATTTTCACAGATGTGAAATCTCTTCTGGAGGCAAGCGTTTCTTTATGCTGAAAGGCTCACATATATACAGAAGTTCAGTATGACGTTGCTGGATATTTTCAGCTTTTAAGAGTCTTCAGCTGACAGGGATAAATGTACGTTTATGTGGATGGCAGTTGTTGATAAAAAAAAAAACAACTTACGATTAAAATATTTTAGTAAACTTTTCCAATTCATTTCAGTGCTTTTACGTCACAAGGATGTTAAGTGTTTTGTGCAGTGAATGTGTTGAAAGCTTGTGTTAGTTTAAATTGTATTACCTCGAAGATAATATATAACATGTAAATCAATTTAAATTGTCTTAATTTTTTGGATCATTTTGTACCTGAAGTTTTATTAGTACTGAACATAAAAGTGGTAAAATAGGCTATCTTATCCTGTAGTTATGAAAACACCTTGAAATAAGTCTTCTCACTATGCTGAGCTTTTTTATAAATAACTAAAACAAGTTTTTTGGTGAAGAGTAAATTGTTTGATGGTACAGATGCAAGGTTAGGATGTGTGGTCGTTAAAAAACCAGGACCTTCAATCAAAAAACTCTATCGGTTTGTCCTGTTGTGCCAAGGCCTGACAGCGTGACTATCGTAACTGTGTACAGCATTTGTACCAGCACAAAATCTGACAGTATTACAAAAATGCATTCATTTCTATTTATTGCGGCGTTACTTTGACTGTTTTCATTATTTTTAGTTATTTTCTCCACTCACTATAATAAAAATGGAATGGAGGTTTAAAAAAAAAAAAAAGTGGCAGGAGGAAATTCTTTGATCCCATATTATTTTCCTAATATACTCTGTCCATAGAAATCAAATACAAAAACCAACAAATAATATGTAAATACATGTTACTTCTATTAAAATCCATCTGGAATTCAATTTAAAATGCTTGTATTGAATTAAAACAATACTTAGCTTCTGGTCCATACTGTGCAGTTGCACTGCTCAGTGCTTTTTATAAGCTCGCTGTTGCTTCTTGCCCCAGAGGAAGGGAGCAGTGAGGAGTTACCATCTCTTTGCTGCAGTCTTTGTACCTTTTCAAAGAAGGCTGTCGGTGTTCTGCAATTGGTATTCCTTGAGAATAACATAAGGTGGAGAGAAATAGGTAAAACTGAGAGTACTTGATGTTTGGGAAAAGGTTTGTGCAGTGCCTGAAATGAAAGAGATGGGGGGGGAAAAAAAGCCAACAAAAAAAACCCCTTTAAACACTGTACTACAAAAGCCTACTGATCTTTTTTCCTTTCAATTCTTTCTAATTGCATTTGTATATCTCTAAAATATTGTAGCAGCTTCACTAAAATCTTGATAAAGCTAATTTTGACATTTCACTGCCATGAATTCTGTGACTGTGAAATGCAGTTTTCTATTAAAACAACAAAAAAAAAAAAAAAGGGGGGGGGGAGGGAATTTAAACACAGTACTGTTAGAATTCTTTTGTTATTAGTATTTCAGATGGCAGCCTTAGGCCTTACAATCTTAAGCGCACTGCTTTGGTGACTCTTGGAATTTCTGAGATGCCTTAATAAATAAAATTGTAAAAAGCTGGATTATTATTATGTAAATAATGTGTGTAATTGGGTAAATGCGTGCAAAACTTTTTAAAATCTTTTTGTCCAGTTGCTGTAGTTTCTATTAATGATGTTTCCAGAAGGAAAACAACTGAAAAACAAAACTGCACTCAAGTGAAATGTAACACCTAACAATAGAAATAACATTATATCTGATAGCATGAGACATAGTTAACACTTTCAGAGGTGGGGGATGTCCATCTCATTAACATTCTTCATATGTAGTGGTGCTCTTGGTGGGGGTGTTGAAGTAGGAATGCCATTGTGCTGGGTTCCAGTGTTTGGGGACAAACACTGCTGTGGAGAGAACGTGTGAAAAGGCCATAGTACTGACAGTGAATGAGGAAGGCTGTGCTTTCTGTATGCTTCAAGCAGGGAAGCTGTCATTCACCGGCCTAGCACAGCTAAACAGAGACCAAAAGAGAAGACTCAAATACCTTTTAAAATGATATTAATGATTTTTAAACATTTTCTTCATTTAGAATTACACTTTATTCAAGCTGTTTGTCTGTCCTGTAGTAAATGGCACAGAATACATATGACCAGGTAAATGAAAGAATAATCCCAGTCACTGCCACAGTTAAGATTTATTATGAAAAATGTATAGGTATAAATATTTGAGCATGACAAGTTGCTTTAAGTGTATTTAAATGGTTTTGCACATATGATACTTGCATGAACTTAGCAAAACCTCAATGCAGTAGGTAACAAACATAGCCTGTCCTAAGGTTCTTTCCAGTTTCCTTTTACCTTACTGCAGGCATGTTATATGTGGGGATGAGGGCACTGAGCTGGGATGAGAAGTGACAGGAAATTGTGTTGAATGTTTGTTAGCTTGATTTAGCAGAATTTATAGTAATGATAGTTAATCATTTGAACCACGGCAATTTACATTAAAGTAATATTTCATAAAATATGAAAATACCCACAATAAAAGAGAATAAAACTATTGGCTGATTCTACTATTCATCTGTAATTCTACATTTCAGCTATGGGAATTCTACCTTAAATGTATTATTTCAAGAGTACATGCAACAGCTTTGCTGTTATTATTCTAAGCTGAATACAGAGACATCATAGTTCATAAGTTTTTCCTCATTTTGCTACATAGATCCATGAAAAATGATGCTGATTTTTTTTTTTTTGTAATGAAATAATGCACCTATTAGAACAAAGAGAAAAGAAAAAATACATTTCTTTTATTATCTTTCACTACTCTTTTGAAATAGCCAACTCAAGTACTGAAGGTTGATTGCATCCAATCCATCCATGAAACAAATACAGAAGTTTCTCTCCACAACTTTTCTTTTTTGTTCTCTGTAAGAAACATACGCGTAATGACTCTTCAATTGGTTTTCCCAGATTTCAGCAATTATTTTGTGTGGTAAGATTTCTAATGATTCTTTTATGTGTTGTTTTTTTTTTCCCCAGAATTAAAATATAAACTAACTGTTATTTAGAACCCTTTTGCAAGTGTTTAGGCTGGGAGAAACTAACAAGTGATACATTTTATTTGCCAAGTATTTTTTAATCAATGTTTTTCATGCATACTTTATATCCATATTAATTGACAGAGTTATCAGAATATTACAATTTAGTAATTTGTAATTCTATTTTCAGAAAATCAGATTATATTTTGCTAAAGATGGCATTATAACTGATACCCCTTGAAAAGAAGAAAAAGAAACTTTCTGATTTCCTGTTCAACCCTAGCTTGCATTTGTGTTGTTAGTGAACAGCCTGAGTTCACCTCACTCGCCCACCTCCCCCTGCCTTATTTTAGACTTAAATATTTAAGTTTCCTCTTGGTTGCAGCTTCTGCTCATCTAATTTTATGTGACATTGACTCACACTGGGGAAGAGGTGTTAAGTATCTTTATTTCAATCTTCAGAGGTCACGTGAAAATGAATTTTTTGTCAGTTTGACCTGTGTAGGGACCACTCAGGAAATAACATCGTGTCAGAGTAAACTTTGCGTAAAGCAAGATTTTAGGCAGAAGTGTAATATTTCAACACAGCTTATTAACAGAATATGGAAATGGTGTTGCAGTTTGAAACTGATAGAAAACACTGCCCTCTTGTTAGTTCAGATAAGTGATTCTTATCATGTTGTATTGTTTGTCGTTTGAGTGATGGTTGAAATTTTTCCCGCAACTGAACTGCATTCTAGTTACCAGAAGTATTTTAAGAACCTTAAACTTGTGTCTTTTTCTAAGTGTCATGCCTTGAGCAGGCCTAACATCAGTTAAATGAAGTGAAAATTGCATTCTTGTCTTGATAGAGATGAAAATGGATTTCTGGTCATGAAATAGATGTAGTTGTCACTTTTTTAAAAAGGTGTCAGCAGTTTGCTTCAGCAAGTAAGGTGCCAATTCAGTATGACAGTAAACTTGTGATCTGAGCAATCAATAAAATGCTTCAATAACTTCTGCTTCATTACACTTATAATAAGAGGCTATAGATCTGTGGCACATAAAATGTTGATAAAGAGAATATGTAGGGACTTAGCATGACATTTTGTTTTAGTAATACCGTAAGTGCAATGTTGCCATCTAGAGTTTGTGCATAGGTAATTATTCTGAAAGCAAAAGCTGTATTGAAAAATGAACGCTGTTATTTCAAAGCCCTATTTATTTCCATCACTTTGGGGCTTGTATGTCTGTCTGTATGGAATAATTCATTTACCTTGTCACAAAACTGTTTAGGTCAGGACAAGTAAGACAATTTTTGCTGTTTTCCAGCCTTGTTCATTTAGTAGTCTGTAAAAAATGTGAGCATTTTCTTTTTCTCAAGCCAACATTAAAATACATCTAAGAAACAATTATTTTCTAAATAGTTCAGCTGTTACCAGATACTTAAAAAATTATAACATTACATTGATTTGATTCGGCACCTACGAGGGGTGGTAACCAAAGCTTTGTTATCACACTGAGTTAATATTGTGATGTTTCAGATTTGAGCCAAGTGTTCTATCTGTTGATTTATGAAATAAATAATAAATGGCTCCTTCTGATTTTTCATAAACATTTATCAGAGGAAAATTTTCTCTGAGCTACTTATCTTGTAAGAAAATTTTGATACTTTAACTAGGTTGTTTTTATTTTTCAAAATAGGTGGCACTTGACTGATACAACATAGAAGGAATTTCTGCTATATATTGGATTGCGTTTTGAATACAGAATATCTGTAGAGAGTTTTTCTTCCCAGGGAAATTATTGGAAGCCCTAAATTCTTCTGAAATATATTTTTGAAAGATGTGGGATTAACAGTTATGTCTAGAAAGCATGAAGGATGGTTTTGTCAAATCCAGTAATCACACAGTGCTTTATTTAGTGAGAAAGAAAATTTGGTTGAGATTATTGAAAAATGGATAATTAAAGCCTTCTTTGTATAGAAAAGGCTGATTTGTCTAAGTGCACAGATACAGCATGTTTATTAAGAGGATGACTGATAAATCTTCTCGTTTTTATAAGCAGCAATAAATATATTGCTTCTGTTTTTTCTTCTACTGATATGTAATTTATAAATCTCTTTTGAATTCAAA